TAGCAAAGTGCATCTGTAATTCACATTAACTCTAATATTAATTTGGATGTTAACTGTCTCCTGTTCTCCGGTCAAAACACGTAGGGAAAAAACGCTCCAGCTTTTAGGAGCACCATACACGTTAAAACTGTTGGACGTTAAAGAAAATAAACATTTACTTACCGAAAGAAACTGTTTATCAGCGTCTCTCCAGCGTGTTAGTGCCGAAGAACGAGCCATAATTACTGTGAACCGAAAACTCATGAAAACTAAAGAACTAACAGTAAAACTGTCAGTGCAAAATTCCTCCTCCGCCGACAAATATTAAGAAAAACAACAGAAATTTAACACAACTGATTCAATACGATGCACACACGACCCAAGCTCCCCTCCGGTGATCGACCTCCCGGCCTGCCGCGTCATCCGATCAATCATTGCACACCAGGCATATCAATCAAACCAATCAATCCCAAAAATACCTGTCGTTCATCTGAGCCCCGTGATCTTTGGGAAATATTTATTCATCCGTCATCACNTAACAGAAATTTAACACAACTGATTCAATACGATGCACACACGACCCAAGCTCCCCTCCGGTGATCGACCTCCCGGCCTGCCGCGTCATCCGATCAATCATTGCACACCAGGCATATCAATCAAACCAATCAATCCCAAAAATACCTGTCGTTCATCTGAGCCCCGTGATCTTTGGGAAATATTTATTCATCCGTCATCACTGTCGTCTCTCTGAAGTTTAAAATATATACAGAGAGAACATTACAGATGTTCTTTCATACAGAGACTTAACAATCTAATTTGCATTTCTTCAGCATATTATATTTTATGATAAATGTAAAAAAAATAATCTGAATCTGAATCATTAAATATTGTATTTGGATTGTGCTTCTACAGGTTTTAACATTACTTTACATACTTAAAGATTAAATGTTAACGCAAATACTGCAAGTTTTAGTTTGAGATGATTTTAATCTGTTTTATTCAGTATTTTTTACTTTGTCTTTCAAAACAAAAGGTTTACTTTACAATATTAAACACGTGTTAATATTTAATTGATTGACACTTACTTTTATTATTAGGAGACAGTTTCTCTGCAGAAGCTTTAGTGGTGTCACTTTATTGATGGTGTTTGATCATAATAATTTACAGTTTTTTTCTGTAGAAATATTAATGAAACTTTTTATTGATGATATAATTTATTGTTTTTACACTTTATTTGAATTATGATATTTTACTTTAAAACAACCATAGCAACAAATGTCTACACATATGTACATGCCCTAACAGAAGCTGATCTGCAATAAAGCTGCTGGGATTTCTCCTGCTGGAACAGAACAACATGAACAACAGTTAATCAGTCTAATTAGCTAATCACAGTCAGTTGTGTGAAAGTTTGTACCTGTCAGTAGCACCTGCTGAGACACTGGTTGCTATGGTGACTGTGGCCACCAGGGGGAGGAGGGAAACGCGCACACAATCCCCTCTGTCTCCCCAGGCAGACAACAGCTTTTAAGATGAAACTTGTGTTCGAAAATTGAAACTCCTATGAGTCCTATTGAAAAGATCACCTCATTGTGACCGTCCTAAGGCTTCAATAAAGAGAATGATATGTTTTATGTGTACCTACAGTTTACAGTTGATGTTTTATCGCAGTTTAAAAACTCCCCTCTGTTGAGGGCAAGAGATTTAAAGCTCAGTTTAACATGGGAGCTTTGGACAACCCTTTCTGCACTTAGGGTGGATTTCCTCAAAAAAGGTAAATGTATCTGAATGAGACCCAAACTGGGCGATACAGGACAAAAATCTCAATTTTTTTTTTTATATAGAATTGTCATTGAAGGTTGGAAATTATGGGATTTAAAAGGGTTTGTCTGATTTTTTTTAGGGAAATTTTTCAGGGATGGCAGTTCTCAAAGCTGCAGGACTGCATGCGCCGAAATTACATAAAACATAATATATAATAACTTTATTTATAAAGTGCTTTACAGTAAAAACAAGGCATGAAAGTAATCATTCATAAGCATGAATCTAAAACAAGATAAATAATTAAAACTATTACAACAGCATGCACGTTTTTATGATTGTGTTTATTATGTAAATAATATGGAAACAAAGAGCCAGAGAATTAAATTATAACCGTTTTTTAAAGCAACTTTATTTGGCAAAGTTAAACAGGTAACATTTAGAGTAAGTGGTTTAGAAACAAGGACTATATATTAAATAGGTTAGGTACATTCAAAGAGAATAAATACATAAAAAGATAAACAAATAATATTGAGTTAAGTTACGTTCAAAGTTTTAGAGTTTTAATGAGAAGGTTTGGAATCCGAGGTTTCAATACAGTCTAAGTGACACATCAGTTCATATTTAAATACAAGAAACAAACGTTTTGTCCTTTTTTTTTCTTTCGTTAAAACAATTTATATTTTTTCATTTTAATTCATTTTATTTTCACCTGTTGTACTTATGTCATTTAAATCAAGGTTTTTATGCGCTGTTGTATTACCGGATTTATTGTTTTTGTCCTTAAATTATGTCTCTGTAAAAAAAAAATGCTTTATGACGTACGGTACGTCCTTACGTCACCCCGTTAACACTGAAGCGGAAGTGAACACGTGGGGTCGAAGGGAACCACCACGCACGTTTGGAGGCCACAGAAACTTTCTCCGGTAATTTTTTACGTCTTTTCACAGTCTCGGGATTTTATTAACAAACTACCGTCACCGTGAGTTCAAGTCGAAGCTGCCCGTCGTTGAAACGTGTGTTAACCGGACGTTTTCTCTCCTCTGGCAAGCTAGCTGAACGGAGAACCGGTTAGCTAGTTATTTAGCCAGTTAGCTGTGTTCACCTCGTAAATAAATTGACGAACGGGCTCTGTGATGTGATAAGCGGCAGCTCGTGCCCTGAGGTTTAAAAGCGTGAGTGTTTTTATTTCTTTCTGTTGTTTCAGGATCAGCAGTGAAGTCTCCTCTTCTTCGCCATCATGGCTGTCAGAGCGTCTTTTGAGAAAAACAACGAGATCGGCTGCTTCGCCAAACTCACCAACACCTACTGCCTCGTGGCGATCGGAGGCTCCGAGAACTTCTACAGGTGAAAGTTTCACCTTTTTAACACACGTGTCAAGTCACGTGTATTTGATTTAGACAGCCACGGGAGCTCTGTTCAGGCAAACATTGTTATGTACCAGTGCAGAGATCAGTCCTGAACCTGTGGCTGATGTCATCAAGGTGTAATTTGTGTCTCACTGACATGAATAACCAAAGACACACAGGAGAAATAAAGATTGATCAAACAATTGATTAGATAAAGCAGTTCTTAGCTTTAATTTAATGTGATAAATGATGTGTAATTTATCCAAAGTTCAGATTTCCACCAGCAGGTTTCTCCCGCTCTACTGAACCTTACTAAATAAGCAGAACACACACCCATGTGGAACAACAGGTGTAAACTCACTGGTCAGAAATCATGGCTCTTACAGGTTTTGGAAATACAGGTTTTGGAGAAGAAAGAGATACAAGCTGTTTCAGTTCCTCTTAGAATCAGGATTCAACAATTACTGCAAGTTTTATGTTATTTATGGGCTTTGTTGGTGTAAAACTTTTCTTTTAATCCGTCTATTATCGTCAGTTGAGAAAATATTCAAAGTCCAACTTTTCCTTAGTGTCTGACAACTCAGTTACAGGAGAGTATCTATATTCTGCTGTAAAGAGACACTGTCACGTCAAAGCTCATAAAAAAAATATGAAAAATGAACATGTCCTTCCACACGGACTAACATACATATAAGGTAGAACATGATTAATTAATGTCTAAACTGAGCCACCGTCAGCTTCAGTGACGGACTGTTGTTTGTGTGACCGCAGTGTGTTTGAAGGGGAACTGTCAGAAACCATCCCGGTGGTTCACGCGTCCGTAGCAGGTTGTCGCATCATAGGGAGGATGTGTGTGGGTGAGTAATGCTCTGGAATACACACACACACACACACACACACACACACACACACACACACACACACAAATATGTGTGCTATCTCTGGCTCCTTAATTTGTTCTCCACACCCATCTTTTGGTATCTTCAGTACAACAGACCAAACTGAAACAAAAGCTTCACCTTCACCGACAGGTTTGTGTCGCTCATGTGGTTTCTTGTTTTGTCATGTGACCAGGGAACCGTCACGGCCTCTTGGTGCCCAACAACACGACAGACCAGGAGCTGCAGCACATCAGAAACTGTCTGCCAGACACAGTGAGGATCCAGAGAGTGGAGGAGAGGCTCTCCGCCCTCGGCAACGTCATCGCCTGCAACGACTACGTAGCGCTGGTCCACCCTGACCTCGACAGGGTGAGAGACACACACACACACTTCCTCTTTACATCAGCTGACCGTTGTGTCTATCCACATGCACTTAATGAACTTATGACTTTGCTAAAATAATCTGTTGATGCAAAATTTGAAAATTGAATCAATGTTTTAGTCATTGATCGAGTGAAATATCAAACATTTGCAGGTTTCATCTTCACAAATCATGAACTCTGTATTTGTGGCTTTTTGGCTAAACACTTGACAGTTTAGCCTCTGGTGCTTAGTGAAGGGCATTTGACAATTTATAAACTAAATAATTAGTGAGTAAATACACTTTCCTGTAGCGTCTGGCAAAAGGAGGATTATAATTCACCATCTTTTAAACACAAAAAGGATTTGAGGAGATGGCCAAACATGGAGATGTGAAACAAACTATAGAAACAATGTCTGACTAAAATGAAATTTAAAAAGTTGAATTAAAAAAAAAAAAGCATTATGTTTTACTGGAAAGGTTTTAAAATGTGTCACTGGCTCAGCTGATCTAAAACTGAAGGGGGCCTTTGTTCCACAGCGCTGGAGCTAAAACAGTGAAAACATAATCCTCCCTATCTTCAGTCTGGACCGTGGGACTGTTTAAGGACACGTGGACGTCAGATCTGAGGCGGCTTTGTGCAGAATAAGGAGTTAAAGGATCTGATGTGAAGCAGAGCCAAACCGTCCAGGGATCTGAACGTAATCAATAAAATCTTAAACTGAATTTTAAAACAAACAGGGAGCGAGGAGTGAGGTAGAAACCTCTGCTGCTGTGATCTGAACCAACTCCACGCAAAACTGTAATAATGTGAGTGAGAGGAAGAGGAACGAGACTCTAGATGTGCTGATTGAAGTTGAGTTATTGATCAGGAGCAACTGGAGGGAGGGATCTGATGCTGTTTGAAATATGAAATAATTACCAGAACTTCGGTCTCATCAGTTGTAGAAGGTCAGAGGTCATCCAGTCTGTGATTTCAGGATAAAACCAGACCCACAGCTGAGCGTCATCAGTGTTAGCAGGTACAAACTGTATCAACAGGATCAACATCAAATACCTTTTTTCTTTTGTAATATCACGAGAAATAATCATAAAAGTTCAGGCAAGATCTCAGTGACACGTGGAGGAATAAACACATCTCTTTAAAAACGCGCTGTGTTTCCCTTCCTCCGCTCAGGAGACGGAGGAGATCCTCGCAGACACTCTGAAGGTGGAGGTTTTCCGTCAGACGGTAGCGGAGCACGTCCTGGTCGGCTCCTACTGCGCATTCAGCAACCAGGGAGGCCTGGTCCACCCGAAGACGTCCATAGAAGACCAGGACGAGCTGTCGTCTCTGCTCCAAGTCCCTCTGGTGGTGAGTGTCGTCCTCCGCAGCTGTCAACACGAACTCTGTCGCTCACTCTCGATTGTGTCTCTGGTACATTTAGTCTGTTGAAAATGCCAAAACAAGTTGGAATAGTTTAAACATCGTAGATTTCACAATCCTGAGACGGTCGAGTCAGAGCAGAGAGGTTTAAAGTGAAAGAGAAGTTTGTAACTTTTCATTCAGATTAGAAATGACACAGCGACCTCTTCAGGACGAACATCTCACCGGTGAGAAATAAGTTTGCTCTTATTAAGTCTCATTAACGTCACTTAGTCTAGATTTGTTTTCAGGTGAGAATTTAATCATGTAGATCTTAATGTCAGTCCGACTCCTGAGAGCCGCTCAGTGCCCGTCATCACCCAGGAGAAGAGCTCATGCATGATGTATGATCCCATTCGTCACCTTCTGAGAACAAGAGTGTGTGTGAAGCAGTTTTCATAACGAGTCCGTCAGGCAGCCTCAGTGCTGCTGCAGTGGCTCCACGAGTAAAATCCACCGAGCGTTAATGACGCTGACTTCCTGTTCAGGCCGGTACAGTGAACCGGGGCAGCGAGGTGATCGCGGCGGGGATGGTGGTCAACGACTGGTGCGCGTTCTGCGGCCTGGACACGACCAGCACGGAGCTGTCCGTCATCGAGAGCGTCTTCAGACTGAGCGACGCGGCGCAGCCCTCGGCCATCGCCACCAGCATGAGGGACTCGCTGATTGACAGGTGAAGACACACACACACACACACACACACACACACACACACAGCCATAACTCAAGAATTCAAACGCCAATTATGACACAATTCAACACAGATGTCTAACAGGATGAAATTAATAGGATGAAATGTATAAAAAGGTCAAAGGTCAACCTCACTGTGACATAATGTTGTGGAAAAACACTTCTGGCCTTTATTCAACGCTGTAAGTCAGAGACAGAAGGAGAGATTGTGACCATGTTTCCTACGACGTGGCTGGTTGGTGGAGGCGTAAAACCACGAGGCGGTAATTCTAGCTTTTGTAAAATTGTGTTAACATCAGGTTAGTTTAGTTTCCTGAAGAATGGCGGTTCATGTGTTTCCACTGAAACTGCAGCACTGGTGTATTTTTGTGTTTCCTCTCAGCAGCTAAGATCGATTCATTTTGAAGAACATCTCCCAGCTGTTCTCCCCCACTCCCCATTCTCCTGTTCAGTCTGAAAATAACACCGAGTTTCAGCAGCAGGAAGCCATTAAATGTTGTTCCTCTCTCTGTTTTTCCCCCCATCAGCATGGCGTAAGCCACCTCCGCGGTTCGCTGCCGTCGAGGAGCTCTGCTGCGGTTCACCTGGTCTCTCATGGCGTGAAGCCACCGGGCGTCTGGACCTCGGCACTCAGCTTAAAACTCCTCCTTCCACACAACACGGTTCGGTCTCAATCAGAAGTCCCAGCTCCTGCAGCTGCACAGGCGTCATTCGGTTTAATCTTTCTAAAAAAAAAAAAAAACCTTCGCTCATGTGACCTCAGTCATTTTTTCATATCAGCTCTCTACAAGGAATTCATCAGCAGGTTAAACAGGTTCAGCTTCACATGCAGCACCTCACCTTTTTATTTGGACTGGGACAGGTTGAGATAATTGGTAGTTAAGTCAAAGCAGAGGCTGATGTTCAGAGAGTTGTGAATGTGCTGGACTCCCCTGAAACTCTATTTACACGCATGTTGTGTCAATCGTGAAACTTTTAAACCAAACAGGAAGAAAGGAAAAAAAAAAAAGAAGAAAGATTTAACATTTTCTCCCAGTTTGGAAAAAACAAAAGTGAGTTAAAAATCAAATTACTTTTTGTGCCTGTCTCATTAAAAATGTGTCTAAAGTCTGTCGGTGGGAGTCGGTGTTCTGCCTGTTATCCTCAGCCCTGAGGGGAAACTGACAGTCGCCTTGACAGAATCACCTCCTCCTCATGTTGGGGTAACTCTGATTGGGTGACAGTTCCCCAGCAGGCGGATGTTTTTGTCACTTAAAAGTCAGTGAGGGATTCCCAACAAAACACACACCTACACACACACACACACACCTCACTGCCAAACAAACGGTATCATCATCCCAGATATCAACTTTCATCTGAGGCTTGAAGAATGGAAAAACTCACTGTCGCTTTAGTCAGAGAGAAAAACGAAGAGAAGTAGGGCTGATATTGAAGGTGGTAACTGATCTTAATGATTTAATGTCCAGAAAACTGACGGTGTGGTGGATGAACACAGGAACACAGGCAGAGAGATATCAGCGTCAGTCGTCTTGTATGTAACGTTTACACAACAGACAGTGAAAAGCGACAGGTGGATGTTTCTCCTCCCGACTGTAAGAAGTGAGACAGACTTCAGTGTTTCTGCCTGCTGGACTCTTTTAACACGGCTCGTTTCTTAACGAACGATACGTCTCGTCTGTCTTGTAAAATAAAATAAAAATCTCCCTCTTTTTATCTGATCAGTGTTTTTCTTTGGACGTGTCCTGAAAATCCAATAAGTGGATTCATTGATTGATTGGTTCTCTTTGTCATTTGTGACATGGAAGAAAGTGGGTGACTGAGAAAACATTGAAAACAATATAATAGTTGACATAACTGTGTTTTCACGCATTAATGTATATAATATAATCACGTTTATGTGTATGTAGATTTACAGCAGACAATATGAAATTAAAAGATCACTTGCTAATGAAACTAATGAGTTGCAGCACACTACAGGAGCGTGAGAAGTCTTGGTTGAATAAGGAGGGAGCAGTGATGGAAAGTTAAATGCATCCACTCAGGTACAGGTTTGACGTGCTTTACATGGCTTGTGTATTTACATTTTATGCTGCTTTATAATTTTGAGATAAATATTGCACTCTGTACAAAATTACATTTATTCGATAGATATTTAATTTAAGAAATGATAAGATAATAAAATAAAAGTCTTGTCAGGTTGGGGCCCCTCGTCATGTTTCAGTCATTAAATGCTCAAGGACCCAAGAGGTGAAATTAACCATTATTTCATAAAATAAGTACAAACAATAAATAAATACAAATTCATGTATCATAATTTATAATTTAATGACCCCTCACATTCATCTGGTGACCCATTAGACTGTATATTAAGTAGTTATAGCAGCTACAACAGGAAAATACTGCTGACGCATCGATGACTCAGGATTGATGATCTGATAATGTCACATACAGTAATCAATATCAGTCACACGACATTTTACTTCTGTACTTGCAGAACTTGTAAAGGAATAAATTTTGCATTGATGTGTCTGGCTGAGTGAAGGATGTGAATCCTTCTCCGTCCTCTGTGGGAACCACACCGTTGAGTCCTGCTGGTCTTTACTGTCATCTACTGGCAAATACGAGACATGGTTTAACAAAACAACAGACAAGAAAAACTGTTTAAAGGCAACTTCTTTTTTTTTTTATTTATTGGCAAATGCTTTGAATAAGGTTGTAGCAATGCATCTATGTACACCCCTCCAAACAGTGACAATATCAGAAAGCCTAAAGAAAACACACTTTGTAATACAGCTCGATTATATGATCGTTTATACGCACACTGTTTTTTCGTTTGTTTCAAACATACACATACACTTATTTTCAGTTTTTGGTTTGGGAAACATCTAAAAAGACTTTTTTTTTTTTCTAAATAAAACAATACAATTATATCTATAGCGTAAAATCAATATACATTTATAATAAAAAAAAAAAACATGCAACATTTGTAGTGCATTATAACTTTTTTCGTCTATAAAGTCTTATTAAACAAAGGCAGACAAACGTACAGATAAAGAGCAGCAGCGCTCTACAGAAGAGGAGCAGATACAAAAAGAAGAGAGAATTATTATATAGATACAGTAATTTCTAAAAACAAACCTCTATGCCAACTCTTGTTTATATTTGTATTAATTTATGTGCAAAAGAAGCTCATTCATTTCCTACATTAAATACATTTTATTATGTCTAATGCTCGACTCTATGCTACCATGACACACGCGGCAATCTTACAAGCTCTGTGACGCGAGGCCGGGAGGAGACGTCGGCCTCACAGTGGAGAAATGATATTAAACCGGGGTCTGAGAAGCTTTACTGGAGGTCTGATTACGTCCTGGCTTCACTGCGTCAGCTCTGCTCAATACACAAAACGGAATAATTTCATTGGCGTTTCGCTGCCTGCCAAAGAGAAAAACACAGTGTGTCTCACAGTGTGTCAAAATAAAAACATCCGGTTCTGTAATCATCCCCATTGTTAGTGCCTGTGACCCCTCGTTCACCACTGTGGAGTCAGCGTCCGCCTCCTGCGTTGCCACTCCGAACCAACAGCTTGCTTTCTAAAAATTTTCATTTCCTAAATTAGTGTTTTAATTTGTAAATTCAACTTTAAGAAAACACGACGGAGCGTGAAAAAGCAAGAGCCAGAATCAAAACTGCTGGATCAGAGAGCATCCCCCCCCCCCCCCCCCCCCTCCCGGTGTTTCCATTCAAACCAGCTACCTGATGGGTCTTTAACTGCTTCACCTGACTGCTTGTTTGTCACGTTAAATGTGGTTAAATGTAGTGGTGGAGGTGGAGGTGGTGGAGGTGGTGGAGGTGAGGGGCTTGTGCAGGAAGACAGGCGAGTAGTGATACTAAGGTGTATTGTGCTTATGGGGCAAAACGACATTAACATCAGTCTGTGAATAACAGCTGTAGCAGCGAGTGGCTACGTTTAGTACGTCACAGTAGCTTTACAGAGGAGGGAGGGGTGGGTGGTGGTGGTGGTGGGATGGGTGGGGGTGGAGTAGACCACCTCTAAGACAGATGATATTTGTTTAACAGCGTCACCCAACAGTGCCGCTGTTCTCGTGTGTCTCTCAAACCTGCAGGGGCTTGAAGGGATAAATATTGCACATGTGAAATTACTGTAAATGCTAATAAGTCGACCAGGATTACGGTCATTTCGAGCCTGATTGTCAGCTACTCGGTAGCCAGTATCGAGTTGGCAAGTTGAGCTTCAGGCTGACGGTAAATGTATGATTAAAACAAACTCAGGACTAGTTACATAACACAAACCTAAACTACGGATAATATTTCAAACAAAAGACGAGAATTTAAAAAAAAGAAAAGAAACTAAGATGTGAGTTAAAAAAGTTAAAACGGTAAAACAACAATCACTACGAGTCTTATCTTCTAGCTTCTACTACTGCTGTTGCAACGATGAGGATATAGACTGACACAGCAGATTACTGGATAGTTATGAACCACACTGTGCTGTGTTTTCACCTGCGTATATATCAGTGGCTTCTTCAGCCAAGCTTCAAATTACATCCTGAACTGTGACTGGCTCGCAAGCGACCGCCTGCTTTCAAGTTTAGCTTCGTCTAATACGTGTGTGTGCGTGCGTGCATGTGTGTGTGTGTGTGTGTGTGTGTGTGTGTGTGTGTGTGTGTGTGTGTGTAGCCTTAAGGATGAAAATCAATAGATCAATAGCGCTTCTGTGGAACTTTACAGACAGCTTCCAAACTACTTAAGTCATTGGTTTGTCCCACCCTTTCAAAATAAGAGACCGCAGTCCACGTGGGACCAAAAGCAGGACAGAGAGATGAAATAAAAGCACTCAGAACGATCACAGGTAGGATTCTGAGGGCGGGAAAGACACAAACGATGTCCTCTGGCTATTGTAGCTAGTGTTGTATTTACTGACCAATATGAAGAAAGGTGCTCGACTACGACGGAGAGAGAGGGACAAGGGGGTGTCTGTCACATGAACACTGACTGACTGTGTTGCTACGTGGGCCTGCAATGCAACAAAGTGGAGAGGATCATGGAGTTGTGTGGTTTCTGGTCGGTTCTGACACCACATGCCTCTCTTTTACCTTCTAGTGCCGCCCCTCCCCCCCTCTCCCCAAATCCCTCATCCCTCTACCCTCCCCCCAAGTCTCCCAGCACCTGAAGATGTCCCGCTCTCCCTCCCCGCATCCCCCTCTCCCTCCCTAGCAGCCGAAGGTCTCCTGCGAGGCGTAGACCATGTAGAGGAAGCCGTCCTCGTCTCTCTCCTGCTCGTAGATCTCGGAGATGGGTGTGGACACCGACACCATGCTGTGCTGGTTGACCAGCAGGAAGAAGGCCTGTGTGGGGTTCAGCTGCAGCCGACGCCTGGTGAGGTGCGGAGGGATAGACACAGGAAAAGAGAAGTTAAGAGGCGGCATTACATCTTTCACGTGTGTCACTTGTTAGTGATCGGGTATAACAATGACAACCTCCCACAATCCTCCTCTCCTCACATCCACCCACATTCAGCAAGATGCAATCTTAACTATCAACTTCTCTCAAAGCTCCACAGGACATTGTTTTTGTTTAAACATAAACACGATTTTATCAAAAATCCAAAAGCAGCGAGGATCTTTCTATGCAGCAGCATTTAGAGTCACGGACAGACTGAACTGGTCAACATCCATTTTTCTGATGTTCGGGGAGGAGAAGGGACCGACTGTGGATCCCTCCCGTTACTGACACTGATTCACTCTTTTCTAATACTTAATACTAAATAATATTCACAATGCACCACTTCTACTGCGCCACACCAGTCCAGTTGTGAGCTATAATGATTCTACAGGCTGCTTTATTATATTAATCAACACGACATGGAGAATTTAAAACATGGAGGATTCATGTCAGAACCTCTCCAGATGTTTATCACTTTAATATCTCTTCATTTTGATCAGAATAATATTATATATCTGATCCTGTCAACAATAATATCTGTGTTTCTGCTATAAATATTTTGTAGCAGTGACCCGTGAGAGAGGGAGAGAAGAGAAAAAGAACAAAAGAGGAGAGAGAGGGAGGTAGATTTAACGCACTATCATTAAAATAAATAGATTTTTATTGCCTAGGCGAGGCAGATGTATCTGTAGAGCACATTAGCACCCATAGAGGTCATTCGATGGTCGTAACAGATTATAAAACAGGTGATATCTAATTAAAGTGCAAAGTTAAATGATTAGATGAAGGCAGTGGAGCAGTTTTCCCATACTACGCACACGCACCACACAACAAAACCCTTCAGAGTCGGACTGGCCTTTCTATTTAAATTTCAAATAAATCTCTCACAATAACTCGTTGTCTCTCCGTGTTTCAGCTCTGCTCATTTTTTAGCTCACTCTCTCCTCTTCCCAGCCTTCACTTTTGGGCGGGTCCTCGTCCAACATGTCTTAGTTCTGAAGAGGGACGTGAATCTATTTATGACTGATTTACATCATCAAGACAAGTGCCTTTATACTTCTGCATCAACAGCATTTAAGGTTAATAACAATCAATAACCCCCCCCCCCCGATATATTATAGTATTTATGCTCAATAGGACAATAAAACCTTAATTTACTGCCCATTCTTCTATAACTGCAGGTACAGTGTGTCTTTATTTGTCGTCCCTTGGGTTTGAAGCAGCGCTTGTAAACAAACTCGTCAGCTGCAGCCTCAGCAAGATGCCAAACACACACACACACACACACACATAAAAAACTTACAAGACATGCATTCAAACAGACAGCTCCAGATATAGACCACATACCAAACATATACCTCACTGAACTTAACCTATACTGGTATCCAATTCAGTAAGCTATTATAACCTGCAGTGTGTGTGTGTGTGTGTGTGTGAGTCTCTGTTTACCTGATGATCTTGACCAGCTCGCTCATGTTGACGTGATCAGGCACCAGGAACTTGGTCTTGTCCAAAACAGGCAGCTGCTTCTCTCCCTTGTATCGCTCGATGATCACCTGCAGCAGAACGAGACACCACACTGTAAATCAGTCTGTCATCCACATACAGACACACTCCTGCTTGTAAAGTCTCACAACTTCATTATCTTGCTAGGTCTTAATTGATTCGTTAGGACTAGTAAGGCAGATTTTATTGTGGTAAAACTCCTCTAAGTCGCCGACTGTGGGTCAGAAAACGAACCTAACTGACACCTACGAAACAGGAGAGGGTATAAAAAAGATAAATTTCCACAGGAAATGGCTGTTAAGAGTTTTGTTGCACTGTTGAGACTGAGGAAAGATGGCGTTAAAAATGAGCTCTCTGGCCATGGTCACCAAAGGTGTGTTTGGAGAAAAAAAAAGAATCAGCAGCATTTGATGAAGAGGGTAGAAATATTCTGCTTTGAGGTTGTGTGTCACGGGAAACACTGTCGCACTAAATATCAGTAGATTCTGGATGAAGACGTCCTGCAGTCGGTGGAGAAAGTGAGAGTTTAAGAGGCTGGTTTCCACATCAGGACTACGATCCAAAGCAGACCTCAAAAACCACCACGAACCACTTAAAGAAAGACGAGATGAAGCTTCTGGAACGGTCCCCACAGCCCCTCCCCCTCTGACCTGAACATCACTGACGATCTGAAAATGCTGCGTGTGCCTAAAAATATTTTCTGAACCTGAAGCGATCAGCAGGAAGAGGCTAAAAATTCATCAATCAACAACAGAAAGAGTCGCTAGAGCTGCTAATATTTGAAGACAGGCTCATTTTCATGTCTTCTTCATATTCTATTTATTCTTCTTGAGCGTTCAACTGTAGTATTTACCTACATACTAGTGATGGAGTGCCACAAATACGTTTACTGAAGTACTGCACATAAGTACATTTCTGAGGTACTTGCAGTTTCCTGTTGTACTTCCATTATTTGCTTCTATTCCACAACAATTCAGAGGCAAATATTTGACTTTTTACTCCACTACATTAATTTGATAACTTGAATTAATTTACAGATTCATGTTAATAAAACAAAATATAATCAACAAGTAAATTATAATGTAATATTATAGGTTAATATAAGACTGTATTGATCCCAAGGGGGGGGGGGGCATAAGCTACCCAGCAGTATATACAGTTATTAAAAATATATTCACTATAGTATTGGGATTGATTTATCATTATTTGTATTGGAAGTGGCAGAAGCAGCAGAGAGAATATTTGTCATCACTGTGATTTGCCTGATAAAAGGTGTAAATATGAGAATGATAAAGGTGTTATTGATATTTTTTTTTTAACTAAAAGCAAATAGTTCATCATTTTGAGAAATAAACTTATTTGCTCTCTAACCAAGAGTTAGATGCAAAGATCAATACCGCTCTCATGTCCGTCCCTTTACTATAAAACTACAGCAAGCAGTAAGTTTACTTAGCACCTTGTAAAACGGCAAATTGTTCTGAGTCTGACTCTGAGTCAGGCTAGCTGCTTCCCCCTGTTTCCAGTCTTTATGCTAAGCTATGCTAGCCGGCTGCTGGCTTTAGCTTCATATTTACAGTACAGACATGAGAGAGGTTTCAATCTTCTCATCTAACGTTTGAAACATAAAGATTAGAAAATGCACACCTCATTGAAACACACATCATTTTTAGGTGTGTTGCTGATGAAGCCATATTAACCAGGCTTCATTACAGATTAAGAACCATGAGTAAAATAAAACTTTCATCTTAATTTATTGAAGTACAATATTAACTCACAGATATTTGATAAATTATATGGCCAGTCTTGCCAATGTGTCATCAAACTGATTTAGTACTAGTTCACAGTCGAGAGCAAACAGTTTTATAACAGCTTTGTCAAATGATTAAAAGCCTTTTTTGTGCTGCTCTCTCTATATTTCTGCCTCGTTCTCACACACACACACACACACACACTCTTCACACATGCAAAAGCCTTCACAAGAACATATGTGCATTTACAGTACATGCCAATGCACACAGAGATTTTTGACAGGCTACATGGATCACTGGTGTCTGCACTGTGGTGCATTAAAGAGCAATGAAGTGTGGTGTGTGTTGAAATCAGATTTGAACGGCAGCTTACGGGGATCTTGTTGGGGTGCTGCTCGCGGATCTGCTGGACCTCTTTGCACCGGTCAGCTGTGGGCAAAGAAAGACACAAGCTATAAACAACATGGCAAACTCAAAAGAACAGTTTCAATTCATCTTCACCACAAATGAAGCTGTGACTAACGCTAACAGTCTGGTTTTGGGTTTTTTTCAGTTCAAAATGAGAAAACACTTTATTAAAACAGACTGTGTCTCTATTGTGGGACAGAGGATAAACAAGCCCAGATGCTTAATCTAAAACCCCTTTGAATCTTTACCTTACCAAGAAGCAGAAAATATGTTAATTAAAAATATGAAGACCCTGCATGTTCGCACTGTTTGCCCAAATTAATTTCTGTCACAGGGTTTTGTTTCTGTCACTGCACGTTCAGATGAAAAAATTAAAACGTCTCCTGGTGCAGCAGTGAGCCACTGTTGTGTCCTGACACAGCTAGACTCTTTAATGATGGCTGGTCCTGCTGGTAAAAGGAAAAAAAAAATTTGTGTCCATGTTATCCACGCCCCACCAGCCTCTGAGAATAGGAGGAATGGACCGTTTTACTGTTATCGCCATCTCTGATCTGTTATGTTCAAAGCGTCCTCTAACACACTTCCTCCTCCCGGTTGTCTAACATCATCTTTTAATTTACGATGTAATGTGTGAACGCAGTGACAGATCACAGCTCACTCAGAGATTTATTCATCAGTACATGCAATACACACAGACTCACATGCATTATAATGGGCAGACTTTAAGACCGTCTTTGAGTGTCTTGCGAGCAGTTTGACATTTGTGGATTGAATTTACATGTTTCACATCTTTGCATATGATTTGTGTATGTGTGAATGTTGAGCTGATTTCCCACACATTCCTCTCTTTACAGTACCTGCTTGAGCTTTGCAATGTTTTTACCACCACACTGTCTAATTTTACAACATGCACTGGCCTCTCTAAACAGCCTACTGCCCTATTTCAGAAAAAAAATACTTCACCTGTTTTTTAAACAGTGGCTGGGTTCAAAGCTCAGAGAGCATTGAGGAGCAGCAGAGACGTGTGAATGGTTTCTTTGTTTAGGTCTGGGGATGTTTTTCTAACCCAGCAATGGGAACAGTCTGTGCTAATGACCAGAATACAAGTATAAAAGATACTGTGGGTTTGCTCTGCAGATCAAATTCGAATGCTTTCATAAATTAGATAATCCATTACTATTCTCCTGTTTTTGATGTAATTCCCTTTCCCGGCTTTGCATCAAAACAGTCAGTGCCCCACCTATGACTAGAATATCTGTTTAACAAATACTACTTTCAGAGCCAGCTCTATTATTCCTGCTATTAAAAGAGGGAATATTATACTTTAGGCCAAGACACAACCTGGGATTTCAGTTCCTCACCCTGTGTCCCAAGTTAATCAAATACATAGCACTTCATATGTGTGGTACCACTGCTAACAGGCCTGCAGCCCCTAGTTTAGAAAATGCTGCTCTGTACCTAACTACTAAGTAAACCATATAACCCAACTAGTTAACTTAACATCTGTCCCCTCTGGACAAGGTCTCTTATTGTTATATAATACTATTATAATGTGTGTCAGTGTGACAAATAGCAATGAACCACAATATAAAACAGGGTCAACAAGGCCTGCTAGTCACTGTGAAACACAACCACTTCACTGACTGTGAATGTAATAACTTTATAAGGACGTAATAAACAAATGCAACAACGGTAAATTGAGTTTTTCCCTGTCCTACCCATGTTTCTGTTGCTTATCCCATATTTCTCTGTATGGCAAGATTATGCAATGGACAGAGTCTGGGCTCCTCCCTTCCCAGCATAGGGGGCCGTCGTTTGGCATCAAATTACAACATAAATCACTGAACACGTGTACTGGGATAATGTGTCAGCACATGTTGTTTTCCTTGGAGCAAACACGAAAACGTTAACTGCTTATGTTAGTCCAGCTAGCCTAAGCAGTTGTATGCAAGCTGGTAATGCCAGGCCAGGCTAGCTTCAAGCTAATGTGACAGTGACCCAGATGGCTTTTGCACATCAACAGCCAAAGACAAAGCCTAGAGGGTTAAAAAGACACCGCCTGTAACGTTACGGCGTCGATGACATGTAGTTACATTTTACATGTTGTTTTTTTTCTCTACATTTGGGTCAAAAACCGACCATAAAGAAATATTCTCTTAACTGGACACACAGGAGCTTCACTCACAGGCTGCTATCGATATGAGCCATAAACCTAGTTTCAAACCGCTGTGAAAAACCGCGGCTACAATATTAAACCAGACAAGTAAACACCATGTAACTACACTTGTCATGACGGGGTTAGCTAGGTGGCTAACAGGCCGGCTAACTACCCAGTTTCTTCGCTCAGCTGCTGTTTCCAAGCAGCTAACGTTAGCTTCACAACAGTGCCTCCTCGGTGGTTTCTTACCAAATGTCCTCCTTTGTTTGAAGGGTCTGTCGGACGGCATCTCTGTCAGTGTTATTACACAGTTATAGCCTGATGAATACGCAGTTACAGCTGCTTATAACGCAACTCGGTCACAGAGAAACGGTTTAGTGTTGATTTCAAGCGGAGCGTCTCCTGTCGTCTCTCGGGTCAGTCTGAAGGCAAAACAGCTCCGGACAAACAAAGCAAGTAAACGAGGCGCTGACGTCATCCGCTGCTTTTAAAGGGAACGTTCACCAATTTTTGCTGTGCGACTTTTAAGATACACTGTTATTAACACTGTAAAATTCACTTTATTATGGAGATCAAATCTGCCCAAACCATAACTGGCTTTAAAAAGAAGCCAGAAACTGCTCTGCTCTCCACTGCCTTCATTTAATATTTTAATCTTGCACTTTGATGAGATGTCATCTATTTTGTAATCTGTGTTTATATGCTGTTTTCTTATTATTCTTTTTACTTCTATTTTTTATGCTTCTATTATTTCAGATACTTCTTTTATTTTTGTTAAGCAGATTGAATGACGTCTGTGTATGATAATGTGCTATACAAATAAATTTGACCTGCCTTGCATTTATTATAATATATGAATTATGCCACTTAAACTGCTAATTCTCTCGCGTGCCATAAAGGTATTCAATCATCGAAGGCCCACTGGGCACAGCATCAAGTCCAGCACCTCTATATTAAGAGATTGACAATTGTTTTTTTTTTGTTTTAAAGTCATATTGCTCAGGTAAAAGACACAAAATGACCAAAGAGACGTAACACAACCACAAAGACACATGAAGATGAAGAAAAAAAGTACCGTAAAGAGATACAAAATTACGACAAAGAGACCCAAAGCAATTGCAAAGTAACAAATAATGATCATAAAGTGACACAAAACGACCCCAAAGATACAAAACAAACAAATCGACTTAGCACAACCACAAAGAGATAACAGAGTAGCAATAACAAAGTGACAAAGTCATAAAAAAAATGACAGAAAAGAGACACCAACAGCCACAAAGAGACAAAGCTGACCAAAGATCGATGCAAAATGATCACAAATGGTAAAACAACCAAAAATACACATACAATTAACCCAAAAAATGTCAAATGGAGAGATGAAAAATGACCAGAGACACAGAACAACCAAATAGAGACACAGATTTTCTACTGATCCGTCCATGTATTTCGTATGAGTCATTCAGTGCTGTGTCATTTTGTATGAAAGGATATGATGCAAGCTTTATGCCCAAAGTGTCATACTGAGCTGGAGTTTGTCAGAGGTGGAAAGTACCTCAGTACATGTATTCAGGTACTGTACTGAAGTACAAACTAGTAAAGTAAAGTATTTGTACTTTACTTAGTTATTCCCATTTTATGTACTGTAACTTCATACTTCTACCTCTCTACATTTCAGATGGAAATAGTTTTACTCCACATTAATCCGACAGATATAATTACTAGTTAAAACTAGTGGTTTCACGTCTGGAGTCGTTAGCAGTTCTACTAACGAGGCATTATCTCCCTAAAATCCTCACAATGTTTCATGTAACAGTTGGAGACACAAAAAGGTAAAATTATTCATCTTTTCACAAATAATTAATACAAATTTGTGACGCAGAATTTAGATTTTTTTTTTTTTATCCTACCCAGTGATAAGCTGTCTTTGCAGCCAGGGAGCACATGTTTAAATCATCTGAAGAGTTTATTCTTGCTCTTTCTGAGACATCTCCTCTTGAAGTACCTGTTGTTTTTGTTGTGTCCAAAAACAGCTGTTTGGTGCTTAATGTCAATGTGACTTATACTTTTTTTTTTTTAATTTTCCATCCTGTGTGAATCTACTAAATATTTAAAACCTGTGTGGAGTTCATGTGAAATTAAGATGAAATGTTGTGTTAAAGATACACGCTACACATCACTCTAACTTGCAGAATGCTGATTATAAACCAGGTATTTTACTGACCTCCAGTGGTTGAAGCTCTGTTTACTGCACTGATGGACAGGTGCTCAGCCAGGTGTGTGTTCAGTCAGTGCAACAGACTTTAATCTCAGAGTTAGAAGAGTTTGAAGTGAAGTCGCTATTTGAAGCTCGACTAATTGATATCTATATATAACGAACTGTGTACTGTGACAGAGGTTTCTGGAAGCAGACACACCTGTAGAGCATTATTACCTGGCTCTGTATTTCCCCTCATCTACACCTAAAAAGGAGAGTGAGAATTAGGACTATATATCCACTGGGAAGCCAGAAACATGACCTCCAAATAAATACTCATGTTGCTCTGTGTTTGCTAAATGTGTAAATAAGGAACAGTTTGCTAGAATTATTCTATAAGGTAACAACATGTCAGTGTGTTTGTGTTTACAGCCTGTTCTTCTGCCCAAAGTGGCCAAAACAATTGATAATTAATAAATAATTAAGTCATTGGTAGATCAACATTCAATGAAAATACATTTTAGTGTTAAACAAGTAAAAGTCAAGGGCTTTTTAACTTCTGCTGAAAACTGTTAACACTGTATATAATGTGTGCAAAGTACATGCCAAAAAATAAACACAAGATCATTTTGACATTTTTTAATTTCTTAATTTGTTACAAATAACCAACAGGAAGTCGACATGGCAAGACCAGAGAAGTGTTTGTAGTGTAGTTCGCTGCTCACCACTGAAATACTGCACTTCAACATCTTTTGCCAATAAAAACAATAAATAACAATCTCAAGATTTCCATTAAGATTGAACTGAAAAAAAACCCCAAAAACATCCTCAAACCAAAAGATGTGTTGTGGTCTTTCTGCCTCCTGTATACTGAGCACATGCATGTTTGCACTGGTCCAGCTTTAAGGTTCTTACTTCTATTTTAGCAGCTGCTAAAATACATATGTGATCAGCACAGTGATGTAACACATATTATGTTTGGGGAAGAGACGGAACTGGAATGCTGAAATATGGGAAATCTTTTTTTGTTGCCTGCAGGGTGACTGAGTGTGTTGCTCACACATCTAGTCACTGAGCCAAGATTCAGTTTCATCCACCTTCAAATCCTGCCCTGCCTTTACGTCTCCGTACAGTAAGTGCATAAAAAGCTTCTGGTAAACAGGTACTTTTGATTTACCAGGATAAAAAAAGAAAAATGGCTGTTTAGATATGAAAGACGAACAGAGAGAGAGTAATGAGTCGGGCAGCAGTTCCTTCTGTCTCAGTCTGACGGGTTCTGAATGACAATCAGGAAATAGTCCTTATCTGTGAAAACAAAGGCAAAACAGTCAAAAACAAAAAACAAACACTGAGCAGCAGTGAAGGATCTTTCTTGCAAATAGGGTTTTTCAAAACTGTTTTTCAACAAAAACCGTTATTCCTATTTAACAAAATAAATCAAACTTGTCTTGACACAAAACAGCTGTACAAGAACTCTGTCTAAGCGAAACATTATTTGCCATTTAAAACAGGAAATATCTCATCAGTGACAAAGACTCTGACCGAGCGTTCACTGCCAACGTTTGAAACTTGACAGGTTTTAACATTCTGTGCTGGAGACACATTCCAGTCAAAAAGTATTAAAGCCCAGCTTGTGGAGGGAAAACCATGAAGTGAACTGAGTGATACAGGTTTTAAAATATTCAATAATAAACAGGTCAGATGATTCTTACTGTTTTATTAGATCATCAAAACTCCCAAACTGTTGAGAAATGCCTCAGTATTAGCTGCGTCATAAAAAGCTGACTCCTGCCTGTTTCCAGATTGTGGTGAGCTGCAATGCAGAGGCTGTAAACTGGATGTTGTGTTTTTGGAGGGGGGGGCGGGGCAGAAAGAGCATCTAATCAGTGAGTTTGTCTGACTGCAATCAGCTGCAATAGCTAGTGTCGTGGAGTAAGCTTCACTGCCAACTGCTGACAACCAGGAAACACTCCTCCTGGTGTTTTTTTTTCTGCCTTTGACTGGTGTGATTTTTCTGAACTGGATTTGAAATGACTCACAGAACCAAATATCTTTACAAGTCTCTGTGTTACTTGAAATTATCAGTTGATTAATCCACCAGTGAATCGACAGTACAAGAATTATGTTTGGAGCTGCACCAATTAGTCAATTAATCTGGATAATGCACAACACTGACTGATTGCAGCTTCTCAAAAGTGAGGATTTGAAGCATTTTCTTTGCGTACTACATGATAATAAACTGAACATTTTTGGGTTTTTGACTGTTGGTCAGAACAAATTGGACATTTGAAGAAATAAAAACATGCACTTTTCACTATTAAAACAACTAAAATCACTATTTTGTCAATTTAATCAATAATGGAAATAATCGTTAATTGCAGCCCTTATTATGTTATTGTTTTAAAGGATTGTTTATCAGTGTAACACATCTTATTTGTTTAGCCACCAAAGACAGATGTGTGTTGTTTTCTGAGGAATTTGGCCCTGTACATATTGCATTAAGTTTTTATTTCTAATTCTGGGAATATGAATCTAAAGTTGGTGGTTCAACCCCTGTCCACATGTTGAAGTGCTCGACTCAAGGGTGAATGGAAAAAAAATGTACAGAAAAAAATCAGATGAACTACAAAAAAAAACCTCTAGGCACTTCCACTGTGGCACTGAACACACTCAAGTTTTGATGGTGTCATTTACAGGCACATCTTGCTATTCCTTCTAAAAATCCTGACTGACAGGTTTTTTTTTTTCCTTCTTACCTGGAGCGATCATGATCTCGTTCTTCTTGGAGCGGACCCGGAGGAAGGTGAGGTCGTTCTGGGGGTCAATGTCCCGTACAGTGGTCCTGGCCTTCATCACCAGCTGGTGGATCAGTCCTGCGTACTGCACCGTGCTGGAGTTGTCCAGAGTTGTCTTGACTGGGATTCCTGAGGGAAGAGACGGGGTAATTTCCATGTAACCAGAGGACTAGAACTCTGGCAGCCGCAGACTATAGACATTTTGTAGACAAAACAATTAATACTATTAATAGAGAAAACAATTAACAGTGCTTATTTATTGCAGCCCTCAAGATTGTACTCAAGCACAGAGCCTGGGTTATTTTCGACCACCGACAGGGCTGGTAATGTAAATGGGTGGAGAAATGGCTGGTAAATAGAAACCGTGTAACAAATATGTATAGAGACAGAGGAATAAGTAATTGTAGGTTGTTTATATAAAGTATTCTTGCCTTCTGAATTGACGATGATGATTCCCTGTACTCCTTTCTGACTCTGGATCCTCTTCAGCGTCTCTTCCACTTCAGCCTGAGGGACAGAAAATGAGTTAGCAACATTAAATTCAGCTGCTGAAATCTCACACAACGACACGAACACACATAACAGGAGGTCAGCTGCTGTTAAAACTGTCAAAACACCCTGTGGATTAATAAACTAATATCTTGACAACGCCCGACTAGCACAATTAAGCTAGCCCCGGTTAGCACTTTCTCAAACTCCCTCACAGAAAACTGCACAATCACAACAGTCAAGACTGAAATATGCACATTTTTATAAAAAAAAAATACATGAGGCATTCGGTCCTTTTTACCATTTTGAGTATGTGAGGAAAAATCTGTGTCAGAAACTGATCTCCGAGCGCCGCTAAATAACAGCTAACAGCTAACAGTCCAGTGTTGTTGCTGGGCGAAGACAACTGACGTCAACTTCCGGGTCAGCCTCCTCACTGTTGTGTTCCAGGTCCAGGGCAAAACGCGGAAGATATGAATATCGTTGAGAAGATTTTGAACAATTGATCATTTTGAACAATGAATGGGGCTCTGACGCTCTGACGCTCTGAGGCCATAAAATGTTTGTCTAATTTCTCACACCGAAATGAGTGTTTTATATCTTACACTTATGTTCAATTTGAAATCTGGTTGAGACCCGTTAGATACACTCTTGTGCTCTTGTGTTATCTATGGAGGATTTGGGGATTCTCTGATTTCTAGCTTCAAGTCAGATAATACAGACTTAACTGGCACGGGAATAACATGTGACATTTAAGCCTTTTATTTAGTTAAATTTCTTTCAAATGAACTGTATGATAATGAAAGTTGTGATTATTATTTATTAGTATTTTGAACTTCATACACAGCCGCTGTTGGATTTTTACCTTCACTTCCCGCTGCAGTTCATGGATTTTAGCTGCAGTTTATGAATTTTGAACATTCTTTTATGGATTTTGTGTCACTTGCAAAAGGACTTCATGTTCGCTGGTTCACTCCTTCCTTTCCTGTGTGTCCATGAGACTCTTTCTCTGCCCAGTCTCGGCCGACTCATAGGAATAACAGCATTGGAAAACCTCGCTGTTTAACGATCTCTGGAAATGTTGATTTTATTTTATTTTCATCGTCATGCACTTACTCAGTCATAGCTATTTTTTCTATTAAAAATGTTTTTTTTTAGTAACAGAATTCTAATAGTTTCCCCTTTGTCAGGATATATGCAGTGCTGGAGATAGTAAATGGAGAAGTGGCAAAATTTACTCCCGATCAGTTGCTGGCTAGTAGTTAAACACCGATAACAGTTATGAATTTTGTTCATTTTTTTTAGACAGTTTGTTTATTTATTTATCTTAGCTCTCCTTAAATTGACCGCTGCAGCCAGCACGTTTGTTCAAAACGCGCAACCTTTACTTTGAAGACGAGCTGTTTCTGTTTCCGACTCTCGATTTACAACAACCCACGCGAAGCGTTAACAGCGTTTAGGCAGCATCGGCTAATGAGGAACGAGCTCACAAACGCCAACATACATTTCCACTTAGCACAAATAGGACAATGAAATTAGGCAATACAAGATGGCATTTTTCATTATACAACGTGAACAATTGCAGAAGAATTAATACTTCATGCACGGACCGTAAAGGCATTTCAAAGTTATTTATATAATTTTGCAAAATTGTTTCAGAACAACAAGGGGTCAGTTCATTCCACAGCAATAACTTTACACTTTACACAAGGAGAAATGTTTTAAAGAAAATAAGTATGTTAGTGAAGTGAAAACTTCATGTTATATAATCTGGATTAATCCCTTTTTTCCCCAGTGAATGTAAACAATGTGGGCGCGGCCGAAACTGTTTCAAGTCAGAGGCAAACAGAGAAGCCGGGACAGGAAGTACAGAGATGTTGCCTTCAAAGTAAAACTGAAAGAAACTGATATAGGGCTGACACAAAGGGAGGAGTAATGGAGTTAAATAAGTATATTAACAATGAACAAAATCCACCAACCTGTGACAAGATACAACATCCCAATCCATTCATCCATGTCTTTATTTTTCTATTGATATTAAATTAAAACTTGAAAGCATTTTTACCAGCCACAGTGCAGTTGTGAGAAATGACAAAGTACATTTTCTCAAGTACTGTATTTAAGTAAAATTTTGAGGTACTTGTACTTAACTTGAGTATTTCCATTTTGTACTACTTATGCTTCCACTACTCTACTTTTTGGAGAGAAATATTGTACTTTTTTAGTCCACTCCATTCACAGCTGTAGTTACTAGTTATTTTTCACATTAAGTGAAAATACTCTTATAAAGTACAAATGCCTCCAAATAGTACTTACACAGTACCTGAGTAGATGTGCTTGGCTATTTTCCTCCTATGTGAAAAAAAAATGTGAACGATCCTCTGGGCTTTTATTTTGAAAACAATAACCGGAAGTTGTCCCTGATGGGGTTTTTTTTAGCGTTGGTATGTGATATTGACATCTTCACATTACAGAGCTTCATTCACACGACCGAAGCGGCGGAGAAATGGACGAGAAGGACGAAGACCTCGGTGAGCATGTTTAAAAACCGGAGACGGGACTTTAGTTCAGATCCCGGACTTTATCTGCGACCTGGTTTTTGTGTTCACACCGGGGCAGAAAGTTTAAGGACCCGGGTTTGCATGTGTCCCGGGGCGGTAGTACGGGACTGTAACGCGGGACAGGGTTAGAAAATTCCCCCGGGTTTTTCAGGTTTATTTAATTGCAGTTGAGAAGAGGTCTTGAGAAGGTCTTTGACTCGTAGGAAGCCGCTATAGTAAAACCTGCTGAGACACTGTGGACAGACACTGTGTGGACACTGTGTCCTGACTGACACCGACTCACATCTGGTTGTTACTTAATAGTAGACTTTGGTAAAGGCTGCACCTAATGAATTCCATTAATTATTAATCTGGTAATTACTTTCTTGATTATCCACCAGGTGTTTTGTTGGCTTAAAAAGTGCTAAACGTTTATAGTTGCAGATTGATTTTGTTTCGGGCAATTAATCAATTAGTGAATAATTGTTGCAGCTCAAGCAGTCTTCAGCTTCTCTGGGGTAATCTAATCCAGATTTGACAAGTCTAAGTAAAGTGTTTTTTCTTAACTTGGACAATGTGTGAAACAAACTGCAGAATCAGTACTTTTTTAATTTTATGAATTAAATTTATTTTTGCATTTTCACAAATAGCCTTAATGCTCCACACGTTTGAAACTGTTTTAAAGAGTCTCTGGCTTGTCTGGGATAATCTAATCCAGATCTGGACCTGGTCCAATGTGGACTGGATGTGAAATTGCTCTTTCATGCTTTAAAGTTTTCACTATTTTGAAACAGCGTTTACTGAAATGAGTAACACACTTTTACAACAGTAAAAGCTGCAAAAAACTGAGAATGTGTGCTCTCTTAAGTTTCCCTTAACTTTCCTCTTAACTGCTGAATGCAAAGATGCAAACTGGAAGCTAACTTCAGTATCATCCCATTAGCACTTTGCTCAAAGTCTCCATATTTAGCATTTATAAACATAACATAAACATATTGGCCTGCATTTAACGATTAGTTTTATTATTGATTAATCTGCTGATTAGTGAATAGTTTAATATTCTCACAGTATGTCTTCATCTTGCACAGTGCAGTGTACATGTGTCAGTTCCAGGCTCAGTCAGAAACAACGCAAAGACGTAGTGTTTCAGTCGTGGACCTTTCGTCCATGACGTCCACTCCCAGGCCTGAATGTCTCATCGCAGTCGTACAGTCTCCTCATCAATCAAGTTCATAGAATCATTTCATCAATTTTTAGAGAGTTCTGCACCAGAAATGGCCACATGAGCTCTGCGGGGGTATTTTGGATGCATTGTCCTGTCAAAGCCTCAGTAATCAGACTGGCTTTGTTCTCACATTCCTTCTCTCTCCCACCCTCTCCTTTTTTTTTTATTTTTCTCTCTCTTAATGAGTCTCTATCTCCCTCCCTCCTCCCTTCCCTCAAGCTGTTCTCACACTCGGTCCATCTCAGCCCAGATCTTTTTGGGGGAAACACCTTCTCGCTGATATTTTTATCCCTCAGACGGAGGTATTGTGTACAGCTCCACATAAGCACTCTGACTCCGCTGTATTTTTATCTGACGGGCAGCCGGGGACTCGAAGAAAACACGGTTCATAAGAAACACTCAGAGGAGTAGCCGTTGTTGGGTTGCTAAGAAAGTATTTGTGTTGGGCAAAATCATGACGCACATGTTAAATAACTGCACGGTGCCTCGGAAGTGTCTCAATCAAGGCACTATTGTGTATATTTATGTAGTATTACATTGTTGTGTAGTAACATGATATTCTTTCGGTATTTGTTGAGATTGAATTTGCTGATGCTGCTGCCAGGCTGCAGATTAATGTGACAGTTACACACAAGTTAAATATCATAACAAGTAAACACGCTGCAACACTGCAGATTATACAGACGCCCCTTCGGCCAATCAGTGTGGAGGAAGCAATATTGTTTGCACATGTGTGTGGGAGGTTGTGAAGCAGCATCTTAAAGGTCCCATACAGTCCAAAGGTCTCTGTCCATGTGTTGTTTGATTGTAAAGCAGGTCTAGGTTCTATATTAATACTGTGGAAGTATCAAAGCCTCAGTCCACAGAGAAATGCACACAGCCTGTATTCAGAAACTGAGCCTTAAAACCAGCCGTCAGGACTTCTGGAACTTTGTGATGTCACAACAAAGCAGTCACCAAGCCCCGCCCACGTGGACCCACTATTCAACCTTGCAGAATTTGGTTTCTCTGAATGTTTACCTGAAATCTGCTATATTTTTATTATTTGATTTATTAATCAGAAGAGAGGCTCAGAAAAAACTACACTGAGATGGTTCTTGGTTCTTAAAACTACAAATATGTCTTCTTATGGATCAACACTTCAGATGAAATACAGGAGAAGAAGAACATATGGGACCTTTAACATGTACAGTATGTGTGAACTCAGATTTGTGAATGTGTAAAGGAATTCACACAAACAGCCTTTTATTATGTGTGGTAAGTTTTCAGCTTCAAGAGCCAAAGAAAACAGATTTTCTCCTCAGTTTTTCCTCTCAGTCAGTCAGCTGTGCCTTTGCATGTGACTGCTACACTTCTACCATGAGATATGCAAATGCATGTGACAATCCGTCTGGAGCACAGGGTTTTCTTTGCCCTCAGCACAGGCTTACAGGCTCATGCTACCAGGTTGCATATTACTCACCTCGCAATCTGCCACAGTCGCTATTAGGGCTGAAAGATTATTTAAATTGCAATATTTCCAAGTGCAATATCCAAATGCCTAGAGCTGTTTGGTTAGTGGTTTTTGTAAACAGACTTTATAGACACTAAATGTTTGACATTTTAGATGTCTGCCCTAATAAGAGAGAATGGAGGGGCACATGAGACAATTTAAATCAAACAGTTACAAATACAATATTACACATTTCTTGAGTCTCTGTTTGTCGCCTCGAAAATGATCCCAGTCAGAAATAGTTTGGCTCATAAGTTATTGCACTTGAATTTTTTATACTGATTAAATAAACAAGATATGACATGTTCGTCAGTGAGCTTTATGGGCGCTGGTAGGCGGATTTTGTCACGGTCTTCACCTTGACTTGGGATTTCCCACATAGAGAATGAGCTTTTGTGGTTGATTCAAATGAAAGGTTATGCTCCTTCGTGTTCCATATCTGGTTTTGAACAAAAACCTGCACCCTGAGGTCATATGCAGCGTTTTCAATAAATCATCCTGACATTTTTTTTATTGCTTTCTCACAATCACCAGTTATAAATAGTTTTGCTTAACCAGTATGCGGCATAGTTATAATGTGAAGACAAACAGTGGAGTCATTGCATCAGGGACCTGCAGGTCTGTTAAGCCTTTTGGAGTGAGCTCTGTGTGCAGAAGTCACATAACTCCGTTCAAGTGGAATCATTAACAAAACAAAGATTGGTCAACACAAGGTGTGGGTGGAGGCAGGACTTGCAAAGTAGTAATTGCAGTTTGTCCGAACCTGCAGGAAGGACAGGAGGATTAATGCTTTTCATGTTCATGTCGCCACAGAACACAATGTTTCATCAGTGATATTTCCCTGTTGTGTGTCTCGCTGGGTCTGCCACTTATTTGAAAGTAGGGATAACCAGTTGGCAGCACTAACTCTCCAGTCTAGGCCCATTAAACCACTGCAGAAGAAGAAGACACAATGAAATGACACGGTTTCAAGTCTGTTTCCATTGCACTTTGTTGCATTTTGCCTGTATCAATACAGCAGACTTTCCCACTTCAGCTAGGCTTGGATGATATCCAAATTTTAAAGGTTCTGTAAATAAGATTTTAAATAACGATAGAGCAGCAAACAACTACTTTCTATGTAAACCATCAAAATATTCAAATGTTTTTAGAGGCTCCATCAGTGTCATTTGTTTGGCTGGTCCCGGCTGATGAGTCCAAGGCTGGGTGGGGAAGTTATAACATAATTATATTATTGTACTTTATGTTTCAGATGATTTTTTTCAATAGTGGTACATATGGCAGGAAATATTAAATATTATTGACTGTGACTTGACTATTGACTTCTGGCATCTTCTCTATACGCCCAAGCCTAACCTCAGCCAAGCATAGATTACTCTTTTGAATTTAAGGTGTTTTCACACAGTTTGAAAATGTGCATAAAATAGATGAATTGGAAATGTACTTGGTAAATAAATAAATAGAAAACATTTATTAAAAAGATGCAGCGAGGGAGAAACATCAGTACTTCATTTATTATCTTGAGGTGTGTTCGATTTCAGCGAGTCACGGAAACAACCTCTCCTTCGCCTCATCCTTTCAGGTGCCTTTGATCCAAACATACCAGAGGAGGGACCATCAGCGCCCCCTCCTGGCTGGCTGGATGACATACATGGATACCAGGGTCACAAAGGAGGACGTGAGTCTTTGGTTCTCTTCTGTTCTCTTTTGGGTTTTTTTTCCGCAACATTTTCCAACCTTCCTCTCCTTTTGTTTCTGTGTTTGTCCAGAGGATGACAATCCGTTGTACCCACCCCCACCTGCCTACAACCCCCAGCCTGAGCTCAACAGGAACACCCTGGTGCCCAACGTCAGGTAACACACGTCAATAATTCACATCATTTATAAAACCCTTTGCAGATGATACTGTGCTTTACCTTAATGTCTCTCAGGATTTAATAATATAAGATGTTACACACCCATGTGTGTGTTTGTGTGTTTTGTCCTCCAGGGTCCCCACGATATCGGAGGATATGGCCAGAGACGCCCTGCTCAAGTTCGTGGAGTCAAAATGGAGGTACAGCTCCAAACCTGCCAGGAACCTCACCTTCAAAGAGCTCAATCCCATCACTGTCTACAGGGTAGGAGCATGTTGAGTATTGATTAGTTATTTTCTAATAACTAACCTGGAACAAAATTAGATGTGAACATGTTTAAGTACGTGAAAGTGTGAAGACGGAAAAGAACTAGTGCTTCCCAAAACATGCACATTTTGTAATAACAAATGTAATCAAAATGGTGACTAACATCATAAAGTTTTTTGCATAAAGTAAAGTTATTACATTTTATACAAGTTTTTACAGACAACTTGAAATACTGTATATTGTAATAACAAATTAAAATCGAGTGTTTTAAGATCCAGTGTGAACGGATTGTAACATAACTTAAAAATTAGACCTTTCCTGACTTTCTCATTTGCTTGTGGAGGGATTTCTGTGTAAAGGATGTGACGTGAAAGTTCGCTCCAGAGTTCTTGCCTTAGTGCCTCTCCTCCAGTCTGTTACAGTGCTAACAGTCATGCAACACTAGCTAACGTTAGCTTAGAAATGGAGTCCGCTAACGTCAACAAACAACCGGCTCCCAGCACAACACAAACTCCATGTTATTCACACTATAGCTCTCTGTACGCTTCATTTCAGTGCTGAGAGTCACTGTAGTTTGTCAAACTGTAATAACAGTGTAACTTTAGTGACCTCATCTATCAACATGATACCTGTCTGTTAACGGCCACCGCTGTCATCAATAACAAGAGTTCTCTGATTGTTACAGACAGTACCTTTTAAAAGTATAGATGCCACAAACAATGAACGAGTGTTTTATTTACTAGAATTAAAACGCACCTTCCCAGAATCCACCTCAACAGAAACAAGATTATGTCATGTTACTCTTTAAACTCTTACTATACTGGCAGTTCACCAGCCTGACTGTGTTCTGATCCTCTGCCCTCTGCAGTATCGACTGGAGACCTACACCGAGACCAGAACCAGCGCCTGGCAGTTTGAACCCTACAATGGTGAAACTTTACTCTGAGCTAAGAAATCATGAAGGTCAATGTGGTTGAAAAGGAAAATGACCTGCACTCTGAGGTCATGTGACTTTTGTGCCACATCTTTTCTTTTTCACTTCACACAGGAAGAGTCAGTCAGCCACATCAGACAGTACTTACAGTCTGATCAATCAGCTCTGACCCACTCTTCATTGATTACATTGTCCTGTGTTTTGTTTCCTTCAAACAGGACAGGTGGTGGACGGGCCTCAGTACGGTATGTCCCCTCCACCGTGGGACGTCCCAGTGACATTACCTCAGAGATACACCGACGTGGTGGAGAAGATCCGCGTGCCGCACACGTCCTTCGTCAAGGTACAGCTCATTTTTTTATTATTCACACTCAAGTTTTCTCAGTTTTCCTGATTTGTTTTTATACCTACTTTATACCTATCTTTGTGTGTGTGTGTGTGTGTGTGTGTGTGTGTGTGTTTCAGACGTGTCACACATGTCACGGCTGTGGAAGAACTCGGTGTATTAGCTGCTTCGGTAGAGGCCAGGTGAGATGTATTTCTTCATATATTCTATATATATATATTGTATATTTGGCAGCAAGAAAGACAAAGTGGTAAATTTCATGATTCAGTTCAATCCAGTAAAACCACAAGTTCACGATTAAACCATGAATCTGTCAGTGTAGAGCCTCATACTCACACTAGTTTTTCTTGCACCTTCACACGCTGACGGCTCCACCTGGTGGTGATGAACAAACTCTTCTTTTTCTGAAGGGAAGTTATTGTCCAGACACTCATCACACTCCGGGCACAACATTTATAGTGTCAGTTGACTTGAATATAAACAGTATCTACAAACAGTAATGTGTTCATTACAGGCAATCGACAACAAAGTGTTAAATGTAAATGCAATTATATGATAAATGGAATGATGTTGTGTTTCTAACTTTTCATCTCAGCTCTGAACCTCATTGTTGGCGTCTTCAGAAATGAACAAAGTTCTCCAGTAAAATATATACGTGTGGTGTTTATACATATCTGCATTAGATCACGTGTCCCGGCAGGAGGGAACAGACTCAGACCCTCAGTGTGTCTGTCCCACCACTTACTGTAGCTGTAGTCACTGATAACAAAATACCACGGCCTCATAATAATGTGAAGATGAAGCCACCTCTGCGCTGGACACCTGACTTAAACCCTCCTCTAATTTTACAGAAGCGTTGCACTTTCTGCCACGGAAACGGTCGCTCCAGGAACAAGCGTTGCACCTCCTGTCACGGCCGAGGTCGCAAGAGGTGGGAGTCCAAGTCTGACTGCTTTTCTGTTCTGGCTGAATTTCCTTCTCCGTCCTTCAGACACGTCCTTTTAACTGTCACGGCAGCAGAGGGCGCTAAAAGCACACTGGGAATCACAAGAACGACAATTATGAATATCATGAGGAGCCACGTTAGCCAGATGTAAACCCCCCCCCCCCCCATGCTGCTTTACCTTCTTGCTCTGCTATGTTTACCTGTCTCAGTTATAACGGCTCCGCTCTCTTGTGTCTTGTGTTTCACTGTGACGTTGCCGTGACAACGAGGGTATTTCTATAACGTTTCTTGTGACCTCCAGGTGTCTCTCCTGTCACGGCCACGGCTACAAGACCTGCTCCGTTTGCCACGGCAGCCAAAACCTGATGCACTTCATCCTGCTCACGGTTACCTGGTACGTCAAGGCTGCACGCGCTCATTCCCACTGATAATCCGCCCAAATCTCTTCTTCTGCGTGTCATTATGTTTGTGTGAGTAGGAAGAACAACGTAGAGGAATTCATCCCTGATCGTCAGCCCGACTTCCCCGACAAGAAGTTTGAGAAGGTGACAGGAGATCCTTTCTTCATCGACCAGAACCTTCTGGTAAAAACAAAAACGCTTCTTTTCTTTCACATGTAACGAGAGTTCACGTCAGATGTGAAGCATCAGCGATACATAAATGCTGCTGTCCTCCCAGGTGTACCCCATCCAGGGTTTCCCCGATCAGGAGATCTGTGACGCTTCTACAAAACTGATCAACGGACACCTCAATCGCTTCAGTGCCACCAGCCGCATCCTGCAACAGGTACAAATGTAGACATGTAGATGCAGCGTCACGCCCCGGCCACTGGATGTCAGTATAACTCTTCTGTGCAGGAGGAAGTGCATTTAAATCACAGTTAGATCAGCTTTAAAACAGTCCCAAATTATCATTTTGTTCCCTGAACGAAAACTGAAAAAGTGAGTGATGCTAATGTCATGCCTGCGTTTTATCTCTCTGCAGCGTCAGAGCATCGAGCTGGTTCCCCTGACTCACGCTTTTTACTTCTACAACGGAAAAGTCCACGACTTCTTTGTCTACGGGACAGAGAACAAAGTATTTGCCTCTAAATATCCCACCGCATGTTCCATTTTATAAGTAGCAGGGATTTGTGGTGGTTAAGGTGAAGTTACGACCCCAAACACTCCAACGTGTCTCACGGACAGAAGTCAGAACACGGGTCATTTCTTTAATGGTTCATGAGACTGTGATGTGTGAGAAATCTACAATCTAAACTTGCAATTCATTCTCAAAACAGTGTGAAAAGCAGTAGATGTTCTGAATGTGGCCTTAATGTCAACAACAGTCTGGTTATCATGTGTCCATGTGAGCACCCGACTAGTGTAACTATAGTAATCCTTCATGGTTAACCTCACATATGCACTAGTTTAATCCTACGAGCCTGCAGGCGTCAAAGGGTCAAATTTCTGATAATCTGTGTGCACGGATTAATTAGTCATACCTATAATTTAATAAACTGTGACCTGGGTGTTTCAGTTTATTCCCCAAAACTAGAGTCATGTTGTTTTTATAGCTGTGGGAACAGAGGTTGCAGGTGTTTACAGCAGGTTAGCAGCCGTGTTTCACCTAAATTAATGAACGAAGCCCCTCAAATAAATGATAAATTATCCCATCCATTCATCTCTTTATCATACATACAGACGTATCTGATTATTATTATTATTACAAATGAGGATTTAGCACTCCTCGTTTACCTTTGGCTGCTATAGTTAGACACGCTCTGTTAGCATTAGCCTGCGTGCTAATCTGCTGTAGCCGCGACAGTTGACAGGTGGTGGATGATCTAAAAGGGCTACGTGGTTCATAATATTGGATTAGGATTTAAGGGCTGAGATTCATGAGTAGTAGGTTATTCTTTTTAAATTTATTTTTTCTCGTTAATTATGAATTCAGGGCAGGTTTGGGCAAAATGTCCATGTCAGCCACATACAGATTAACCTTTAAATATCTCTGGTTGTATTTGTCCATTTTAAATGTAAATCATTGAGCAGGACGGCTGGATTTCATTCATCACGTATCACCATGTACAGACGGTAGTTTGACTTTCCAGACAATATGCTTTTATAAAACATATATAATTTAATCAGATTTTAACATCACATCCTAATTGGAGTTTACAAATAAAGGTAATTCACTTGAGTATGAATGATTAATTCTGTTGCACTGAATCAAAGCTTTGCCCTCGACGTCCGTCAGGCTCCATATAACCCAGTATAATCCAGTAAGTGAACTGTGTGTGTGTACTAACGTCTACTACCTCTCTACTGTCGGCTCAGACTGATCGCGGTGCGCTTCGCAGCCGGTGCTCACTCTTTGAGATTCAGCGCTGAATCAAATCCCTCCAGTTCACATTAACAGAGACGATGTGAATATTATGTGGTGAGATGACGACAGATCTTCTTGTCTCTGTAGCTCTGAGTTGATTTTCAGGCGTCTTCGCTGTCACATCCAGAGTGAATCAGAAGCCATACTCTGTTTTATTGTTTATTTTTACTTTTGATGGACTGAAACACTTCTCCATTTTCACTTACATTTTTCCTGCCTTTTATAAATATTAAAAAAATATCTTTTTATACTGTATTTATCTGAATTCCTTCCGTCTACAGACGGTGAAATCCTGTGCAGTTTACAGTCACTTCCTCTGCACTGATTCGTGTCGTTGGATAATTTCTAACTCCGTTTTAACTTCTGTCTTTACATCTCTCATCTGGCTCTTTGGTTTTAAACATTTGGATTATCACCTAGGTAACGGCACACAGCTGGTGATGTGCAAAGAACACTAATCAGACAAATCTATCGTTTATTCTGGTCTTGAATGGGACTCATAATTTCATTTTAGTCTGAAACGATTACTGGATTAATTGTTCAGTTGATTTGCAGAAAAATAATCAGTAATTATTCTGATTTAAGTTGATTTTCCAGCTTCTGAGCTGTGAAGACTTTCTGCTTTTATTCATCGTACCTGATAATAAACTGAATATCTTTTAGATTTTATACTCAAGTCAGGTGAAACTTTTCCACTGCTCTCTGACATTTTAAAGACCAAATGATTGGTTGTGCAGTTGTGCAGTGGTTAGCACTGTTAGCACTTAGCTGGGATTGGCTCCAGGAGATGAATCAATATTGAAAACATTTGTCAGTTGCAGCCTTACCTAACAGATAAAGAGTTTTTGACATTTATTTAGTATCATACCAGTTACATCTTCGCTTGTTGGACGGTCCAGCAGGTCAGGAAACTAAAATGTGCCAGTTTGATATAAAATCACACTCACAGGAAAAGCACTTAACACACAGTACAGTACTGTATATCTACGCTCTCTCTCTCCTCTCTGTGCCTCAGTGACGCGTTGCTTTAACGACTGAACAAACCTTTAACATTGTGCACACGTTAAACACGATGTTCTTTTACAGCTACAGGCCAAATAAAGACCCGTTATCACAGTTTACACATGGAGACTTTCTGTCTCAGGACTCACTGACAGTTTGTCATTTTGATAAGTGACTGTTCATATCACAACTTTTCTATCAGAGGAGATTTATTTTTCTTTGTGTGTTAAATCAAAGGGTTTTTATTTTCTTTTAGAAAACAGTAAATCTAGTGTCTCAGTTTACATCTATGGAAAATACTCATTCATATTTCAGCTCTTTTTTTTTTGTACGTCTGACAATGTCTCTGTGATTGTTAAAGAATTTTATCAGTTTGAATTTTATATGTAAAAGATATTTTATTAGGACATGTGAGGCTTCACTATCACGTCCAGAAATGAAGTAAATTTACAGCCTCTTGTGTTTGTCTCCACTTTTACAACTTTACTTGGTATTGTGTGTGTCGTGTAGTCCAGTTATCTCTGTCTAAACTTATTACAGCTAAAGTTACAATTTAAAGTCATGTTGTTCATAAATAAACATAATAAAACCTGTTAAATATATTCAGTAAAGATGTCACAAATAAACTTTCCTGTTATCATCCTGCTGTGTCTGAGCGCTTCTACTCTCCTGAGATCTAGTTCGGACAAAACTGGTTCAGGATTATTGTGTTCTTGCTTCTTTTTCTTCTTCTGTTTTATTTGAAGTGTTGATCCATAAGAAGAAGAAAATATTTGTGGTTTTAAGAACCAAAAACCATCTTGATGTAGTTTTTCTGAGCCTCTCTTCTGATTGGCTGACTGTTAAAAAATATAGCAGATTTCAGAGAGAGAAACCAAATCCTGCAAGGTTTGGATGGTGGGTCCAGGTGGGCGGGGCTTGGTGACTGCTTTGTTGTGACATCACAAAGTTCCAGAAGTCCTGACGGCTGGTTTTAAGGCTCAGTTTCTGAATACAGGCTGTGTGCATTTCTCTGTGGACTGAGGCTTTGATACTTTCACAGTATTAATATAGAAGCTAGACCTGATCTATAATCACACTACACATGGACAGAGACCTTTACACTGGAGGAGCTTTAAAAAGTTGTGACGCTGATTTGGTCCAAGCTTGCTGTGATGAATCGGACAGGAAACAGGGACGTCAGAGATGCTGCAGCACTAAACAAAAGCAATGATCACAATTCAGACGCCTGAAGTTACTGGTTACTTTTTAAAATTTACATAAAACAAAAAGTACAATATACAAAAGTACAAAGCAGTGTTGAAGTTTAGGTTTTGGCTCATGACCTCTTTAACCATAGACTCTGCCTGGACCCCGTTGTACAGGACCACAGACTCACTGTGTGGGAGTGGTGGGGTAGTTTTAAAGGGCTGTAAAAGCTCTGTTGAACTAATCCCACAAGGGGGCACCCTGCCTTATCAAATAAGGTACATCCACAGGTGTGTTTACTGACCTCATGTGCAGTGGGAAATGTGAGACAAAGATTGTGTCAAAGGACAAATCCACCCTGAACCCCTGAAAGTGGCCCCGACTTCTTTTTGAACTGAAATTAAAGTAAAAGATAAATTCATCACAGACCGAGTCCAGATCCCAGAGTTTGATCCTCTGCCTGAAGAATTAAATACAGTGACATCACATGAGAGATTTTCAGCCGCCTCAATCCTTTTCTTCTTCATGGGGAAACCTGCCTGTCTCACGGTGTAAATGACACACAATTAAGGCAGGTTGAGGAAAAATCAGTAAACCAACAAAACTGGTTGACAAGAACACACCCTCACAAATAAATAAATAATCTCAGATTCAAGGAACAGTGATACAAACCTACACGTGAACCTTAACCAAGTCAGAATTAGACAAAGGACCAACAGATTACACTGACGTCATCTCTTGTATAATGTATGTGGTGTAATGTATACTATGTACACTTGTATTCAAGCATTATCAGCCGTTTTGGCAGGAAAATTGTAAAATGTCATTAAATGCACATTTACAGTGACCTCTTTTTGAACGAGTTTAATTTATTCTTTCTGAATAAACACCTTTTCTTTAATATGACACTGAGTCTAACGTCTCGACATTAACAATGTTATTACATATGTTAATATTTATCTTCATGTATTTATGTCTGGCTGGATATTTGTTGTATATGGAGAAATGCTAGTTGTCCTTTATACTACTCACCAAAACAAAACTTAAGCCTTTAATGTTATTTGTTTGGGTGTTTTAAATGTTTTTTAAAAGAAACAATATGAAGTAAAACACTTGGGTTAACACTAACTATAAGAGGTGCATTAGCCTGCAGATAAATTCAGTTTTTCTTTGCTGCTTTTACTTGGTAGAACTCGAATGTCGTATTTTCCGAGCAGCACTTGAATGCAGCAGAGGGACGGTGTGCTTCAGGGGGAGGGAGCGGCTCCGCCGCTGCCCACATGTGTTCAGTTTGTTTATAACGCGCGGAGGCTCCAGGTGACCCAACACTGACCTGTCCGACCGGCAGCCGCTGCACCGACTCCACAGCCCGGCTCTGCTGTCCAGCTGAAGTGGAATAAACTCGGAGCCCACAGACCCGAACCAGGACCCGGACCCGGACCCGGACCCGGACCCGGACACAGACCAGGACTCAGACCTCAGCTCGGTGAGTTTGGAGAAGTTTTATCCTGAGATGTGAGAGGTGCTGCGGACTCAGGCTGATGAGATGAAGTTCAGTTTGGAGGGAAAATGTTTAGTTTAGTTTAGTTTCATTGAGCTAATTGATGTTGTTTTTGGAAGTTCCAGGGGTCCTTGAAGGGGTTTTGATGCTCGATCAGGAGGTTCTCAGGATATTTGATGATTATTAATGAGGTTCCAGGAGGGTTTGAAGGATTTTATTTGCTCTTTTAGGAGGTTTCAAGAGTCCATGAGGTTTCCAGGAGTTTAGCTGGTCATTGAGGAGGTTCCAGGGGAAGTTTCCTGGTGATATAGCCAAACCTTTGAGGGTCATTCAGAGGGTTTTAAGAGTCCTTGGAGGAGTATAGGTGGTCATGGAGGAGGTTCCAGGAGTTTAGGTGGTCATTGAGGATCCAGGAGAAGTTTTCTGATGTTCTTGCCAAACTTTTAAAGATCATTGAGAAAGTTTCAAGAGTCCTTGGTGGTTATTGAGGAGTTTGAGGTGATTAAGACGAGGAACTACGTGTGTAATGAAGTGATTCATGTGATCATAAGTCGCTCTGTGCTGTATTTTCTTTGCTTCTGCTGCTTTAAAAAAAAAGCTTCATGTGTTTGTGGTTTTTGAGCCGGTGAGATGAAACTGTTGGGGCCGTTCCTCTGAGAGATGATTTCTTAATTTGTCATTGTGGTCACCTCTCCTGCAAACATGATTCATATACCTGCTGCTGAGCTTATTCAAGAGCAAAGAGCAGAAGGATCAGACAGTACAGTGTCTCTGTCTCTGTCTCCGTCTCCGTCTCCGTCTCTGTCTCTGTCTCTGCTGTGAGTAAACCTCCCCCAATTGTCCCGGCCTTTCCTGTTATGGAGTTCAACACCCCCTCTGCTGTACAGTCTGTGTGTGGGACTGCTGTTTCCTGCCCTGTGTGTGTGTGTGTGTGTGTGTGTGTGTGTGTGTGTGTGTGTGTGTGTGTGTGTGTGTTTGTAGATTGTTGTTTTCCTGGCTGTATTGTGTCATTGTGTGTCCTCTCCTGCTGTAGTGATGATAAAAGAGTGACGCTGGTGCGCAGCCACCTGTGGGATGCGTGTGTTTGTGTGTGTGTGTGTGTGTGTGTGTGTTTGTGTATGTACTTTACTGTATTTCAATTTTACGCTGCTTTCTACTTTTACTCCACTACACTCCAGAAGAAAAAAAAATCAAATCCTCTTCTCTAGTAGAAATTCCAGCCAGTTGTAAATCAACTCGTTTCTTGTAGAGAGTTCAACGTAGCATCTTCAAATTTCTTGTTTTATCAAACAAGAAATAAAAAAACCCCAAAATATTCAGTTTATACTGATATATGACAAAGAAAGGCAGCAAATCTTCACATTTAAAAAGCTGAAATTAGACGTTTGTTGTTTTCTGCTTGAAAAATTAGTGAAATGTTGAATCGATAGTCAAATCAAATCATATTTACTCATTTCAACCCAATTAAAATCAACACTTTCTAATTCATTGTGGTTTACAGACACTAGAACCAGTTTAAACCAGTTAATTGAAATCAAAAACAGGTTGAGATACTGAGATATTCTGTTATAGGCACAGGTGTTTTTATAGGGCCGAGGTTTTTACAGGTTAAAATGTCCAACTACCAAAAAAACCCAAAACTGCTGCTCACACATCAATTCATCAGTGATGATAATGTGATGATATAATAATATAATGACTCCATTAAAAAGACCATTCTGCACCATGAGCAGTTGAACTTTTGATTCTTCACATACGTTCAGCTGATAACACGTGTGCGCTTTTACTTAAGTCAGATTTTGATTATTTCACGTCGTCTCCTGACTTGTTTTATGGAGGTCAAGGATCAGGACCGGAGTAGTGGTTAGAGATAGAAGAAGAAGAAGAAGAAGAAGAAGAAGAAGAAGAAGAAGAAGCTGTTTATATTCAGGAGCTCTTTGAAGCTGCTTTTCTTTCTCTCTCGTCTCTGCACCTTCGTGAAGCTTCAGGTTCTGTGTCTGTGGAGCCGCTGAGAGCCGAGTGCAGCCCATTGAAGCTGCTTGACTCCCTCTCAGTCAGGGTCCTCCAGTGGAGAGGGGTATTACACCGGCGTTACCCCCACCCCCACCCCCACCCCGGCTGCTGAGTGAAGTGTGTAAAGACGAGGAGTTACAGTTAAAACGTGTGCAGGAGGTGAGGAGTGACTGAGCCGGAGGGTTTGACCCGCAGCAGAGCAGATAGACATCACGCAGCAGGCGGCTGGTTCTTTTCTGCTCGTGTTTTTTCTTTCTTTTTTTTTGTTTTTGAAAAAAGCAGAATCAAGTCGACCGTCACATCGCTCCGGGACCAGAACCAACTGAGACTCCAGATAAAGGTCTTATCTGATGGCTGCCGGCCAAAGAGAAGTGAAGTTCAAAGCTGCGGCACTTCTACTTTTTGTTGAGGTGACGCGTCCGTCTGGAAATTTCAGAGTAAAAGGAGCAAGAGCTGAATCTAATTACACATTGGGAGACGGAGCTGGATGGAGGTTTTTTAATATTGTCTCTTCTTCTACATCGTCTCTGTCTCTGTCACACAGAAAAACACAGAACATTTTTCAACTTGGCCATTAAAGGACTTGTGTTTCTCTTCCAAAAAAGCTAATTTTCTGCATCAGGAGACAAAGAAAACATGTAGAGGACGTGAAGTCTGAAACGAAGACTTGTTTTTTTTTTCTTATTTTAAAACGGTTGAATTAAAGATCTGCTCGGTAATAAGATGCCAAGTTAGTGGAATGTGGCCTAGTAACCGGAGTGAGACGTGTTATCGTTGGAACATCAGGCGTTTCTCAGTTTACCTCATTAACATATCGCACACCTCAGCTGCTCTGATCCATGTCGGGATCTTTTTCAGAGGAAGGAAGTGCTGTTTGTTTTTTTTTTGTTTGTTTTTCTGCTGGCGTCCAGAGGTTTCTGGCAGGTTCGATGAAGAATCTCCCTCCAACATTTCCAATAAACCCTCTGAGTGCAGCAGGTGAACGAGATAAAAAAAAAAATAAAAGTCCACAGCCACAGAACCAGATCCGTGACCTCCAGAAAACCATGATGATGAAAGATGCAGAGAGATTTCATAGATCTTAATCGAAATAAAAAAAAAGGGTTAATCCCTCGTCTAGTGCACGAGGCTCCGGGTCGAAAACGAGCAGATGAAACCTCGTAACTCCCTCCATCGCTCCCAGTGTGTAACATGAACTCCCAGAGGTCATTTGGGAGTGTAGCACGCAAGCACCAAACTGAAACAGTGACGAGACTTTGACTGTTCAAAGAATAAAACAACATGTCAGTTCAATCAGCACAAATCATTCTGCACAGAGTAAGACTGGAGCCTTTCAGGGCCCCAGGAGCCCCGGGGCTCCAGCTCCCCCCTTCCCTCTTGTGATGGAGGCTAATGTGAGCATGAACCTGTTACCTGTAACATTTAGACTGAACACAGTGTTTCAGATAAACAGCCTGGTTATTTTCTTCATCTTTGCTTCACTTCATCCTCCTGATCCGCCTGTGGAGTTTGTATAAAGTCTGACACATGTCGGTGGATAGAAACGTTCGCCGTAATGGGATTGAACATGTGACCTGTCGGTCAGAGGACGGTCTGTATCGTATTGTGCAACATGTTCCCTGTAACTGGATCAGGTGTTTTCCATCCTCCCAGAAGCGCCGTCGAAATGTGCTTCTTGTTCTCTGCGGCCGCGAGGCGTGTCCGTCTGCCCTGGTTTCACACAGGTTTTTTTTTTTCTTTTCTGCATCTGTTTGAACTTCAGGTCTGTTTTTCATTCTCCTCACCTCTCGGTCTGTTTCACGGCGAGGACGCTCAGGCGCTGCACGCTCTCCTGAAACAAGAGTCGCTTTCACGGTCACGCTCATATTTACACACAGACGTACACCCACTGAGCGCTGAGCAGTTTATTAGGAACACCGACACCAAGACAAAAAAAAAATGTCGATAACAACATTAATATAATAAAATACAATATAATTATTAATAGGACGAATTGATGATGAATAAAATACACACATACAGTATATATATATATGCAAATATACACATATGTAAAGGCAGTTATCAAATAAATACATTTGGTTTCTATATTTAAGTGACATATTTAGCTGTCAACGCTGCACAGGATTATGGGTAATTTCTCCCTTGCTTGTTTTTTTTTTTTTTTTCAAATTTTGGGAAGAATTCCTCCCTAATATTTCTGTGTTTCATTAACACTCTTGTTAACAAGCAAATGAATGAGCAGGTGTTCCTAATAAAGTGCTCGTTAAGTGTAGCTTTAGTTTTGTCCTAAACTGTGCGTCACCAGCTGTTCCCTTCTGTCGCCTAGCAACCTCGACAACACGTAACTTTTTTTTTTTTTGAACCCTCAGGCTCTCTGTCCACATTGTTTACACCTTTTTATTACCGGCGTGCAATGAATCTTGGGATACGTAGGATCCGCCCGCTCTTTCGTTGCCCAGGAAAAGAAGGAGGCATTTGAAGGAGCCTTCGAAAAGGGAGAGCGACTGAAGGGACGTGGCCCCTTGAATTGGGACACATTTTATATTCCTTTTTTTAAAAATTAATATTTTTCAGGTTCATATCTTAATCTTACCGATTTCTTATTTGCAGTTCTTTGCACGGATCAATAACCCGATCATTACATCACAGTTCATTCTGAGAGGTAATGAAAAGCTCATTTACTGCATCTTTAACTGAGTGAATTTCCACTGACGTTTATCACCTCCAGTTTCCCCACTCCGCCGTAAACTCAGCCACCGGGGGACTTTAAAAGTTTTTATAAGTGACTCTGTGAAATTGGCGACACCGACCCGCCGCTCGCTGTCAGCTCCTCCATTAAAAGTGATGTAAAGTCTGACTCTGTCTGGGTCCCGCCTCGGCCGTCACAGAGCCAGACTCCTGCCGCCGCCGGCCCGGAGGTCTTAACTCACTCCGGCAGCTCGCATTAGAACTTCATCATCGCACCGCGG